TTTATTGGCCAAGTGTGATTGGACACACAAGGAATTTGTCTTTGGTGCACATGCTCTTAGTGTACATAAAGAAAAATAAAATAAAATAAGAACTTTTTAAAAAACTTTTTAAAAGCATTTTCTAGTTTAAAAAATGTTAGTTTAAAAATGCCAAAAGAGTAAAAAAAAGTTCCAATGATCCTGTGGCACAGCTGATTGTTTCACAGCTGATCATAGGAACATTTTTAAAACTTTTTTAAAAAGCATTTTAGTTAAAAAACTAAAATGCTTTAAAAAGTTTTTAAAAGTTCCAACGATCGCGGGCACAGCTGATTGTTGCACAGCTGATCATAAGAACTTTTTGTTACTTTTTAAAAAAGCAATGTTAGTTAAAAACGTTAGTTAGTTAAAAATGCTTTAAAAAGTTTTAAAAAGTTCCAACGATCGCGTGGCACAGCTGGAACTTTTAAAAACTTTTTTAAAAGCATTTTTAATTAAAAAATGTTAGTTAAAATGTTAGTTAGTTTAAAAAAGGCTTTAAAAAGATTTTTTAAAGTTCCGATGATTGCGTGGCACAGCTGGAAATTTTAAAAAACTTTTTAAAAAGCATTTTTAGTTAAAAATGTTAGCTAGTTTAAAAAATTAGTTTAAAATGTAAGTTAGTTAAAAATGCTTTTAAAAGTTTTAAAAAGTTCCGACAATCGCGTTGCACAGCTGGAACTTTTTTTATCTTTTTTTAAAAGCATTTTTAGTTAAAAAATGTTAGTTAAATGTTAGTTAGTTAAAAATGTTAGTTAAAAATGTTAGCTAAAAATGCTTTAAAAAGTTCGACGATCGCATGGCACAGCTGATTGTTGCACAGCTGATCATAGGAACATTTTTTTACTTTTTAAAGCATTTTTAAACTTTAAGCATTTCCCGTTTCGGGAAAACTGCTAGTTAAAAAATGTTTTTTAAAAAAGCTGACCACGCCCACCTAGTTACACAATCCCCACCAAGCCACGCCCACCAAGCCACACCCACCAAGCCACTCCCACAGAACCAGTAGGGAAAAAATTGAATTTCACCACTGCTAACCACTGTGTGATTCACTTAATGATGGTGGCAAAAAGAGTCATAAAATTAGGTGCAACTCACTTAATGACCATCTCACTGTTCAGAAAAAATTGAGCAGGTTACCTTGGGGCAAGAATTAAAATAAGCCAAGTTATTGTATAACGCTACAACCCGCATTAACAATAAAAGTGAGTCACGACTAGATTTAAATTCGCCTCAGGAAAAGGATAAAATGTACCTTTTCTCCTTTGATACCATCTTGTCCCCTTTTACCCTGGATTTAAAAAAGAATGAAGAAATATATATATATTTGGTAAATCTGCAAAGTGGAATAAATCAGTAAATATTTGGTTTTCATGAAGTTTGTCCTCACTTAGCGAAAACAATTGGGACTATCAACTCCGTCGCTCAGTGGAATATCATATGACCATGATGGACTGGTGGCCTCAGTTCCCCTTCCTCAAAAAGGGACTGTGAATTCTAGTCCTGCCATGGGTAAAAGCCAGCTGGGTGACTTTGGGCCAATCACCAGGAGACGGTGAGTTCTAGTCCTTCCTTATGTATGAAAGCCAGCTGGGTGACTTTGGACCAATCACCAGGAGACGGTGAGTTCTAGTCCTTCCTTATGTATGAAAGCCAGCTGGGTGACTTTGGGCCAATCACCAGGAGACGGTGAGTTCCAGTCCTTCCTTATGCATGAAAGCCAGCTGGGCGACTTTGGGTCAATCACCAGGAGACGCTGAGTTCTAGTCCTTCCTTATGCATGAAAGCCAGCTGGGTGACTTTGGGCCAATCACCAGGAGACGGTGAGTTCTAGTCCTTCCTTATGCATGAAAGCCAGCTGGGTGACTTTGGGCCAATCACCAGGAGACGGTGAGTTCTAGTCCTTCCTTATGCATGAAAGCCAGCTGGGTGACTTTGGGCCAATCACCAGGAGACGGTGAGTTCTAGTCCTTCCTTATGCATGAAAGCCAGCTGGGTGACTTTGG